ATAACACTCTATTCATAAGGAAAGTTAAAAAAATATACATATATAGAGAGATTATTTCTGAGTAAGGCTTCATGGACATGACACTATTTAAGCTGGACTGGAAAAGAAGTTTAAGATTTAGATTTATAGAAAAAGGAAAAGGAATTCTAGCCTAAGGGAACAGTGAGTAGAGTCAAGGGAATAGATGCATAGGAAAAATGGTGGCCCATTCAAACTGACTGGGGGTTAGGTAGGGTGACCATATGTCCTGGTTTGCCATAATCTTGCTTTAGGCCTGTTTCCCCAACGTAATTATTATAGGGCCCCTTCCACAGTTCAATGTCACTCTTGGGAAATTATACGATCACCCAAAGTATAGGGTAAAACAAGGAAGTAGGAGGAGATAAGCCTCAAAAGATAAGACCAAATAGTGACTTCAGGAGGGCCTTGTGCCAAAGGATGCAGGCTCTTCAGTAAACACTGGGGCATCATTAAAGGTTTAATAATGTGTATTTTAGGAGAATCAGGCAGCACTTACAAATACAGTCTGAGATGGGGAAAACTAAGGATACGAACACTTGCAAGGCTTCTACAATGGTTCTGCTAACATATAATGAAGATCTGCACCAGGATCGTGGCTGTTGAAATGTGACAGAGATGAATGTGAAAGACACCACAGCTTAGCTTAGGCTGGCAACTCTTTCATAAACGAGCACACAGTAAATTCTTTAGGCTTGTTGTGCTATACGGTGCTATAATCTGCCACTGTAGCTGACAGCAGCCGCAGACAATACATAGCTGAATAAATGAGGCAGTGTTCCGATAAAACTTTATGTACGAAAACTGAAATGAGAATTTCATGTAATATTCAAGCACATGAACTATCGTTATTCTCTGATTTATTTCAACCATTAAAAAATGTAAAAACCATTCATTGTTTGTGGGTCATACAAAAGCAGGAAGTGGGCCAGGGGGCCTTAATTTGCCAATACCTGGCCTAGCAGGATGCCATACTCTGACCTACTAATCACGTCACCGTTTTGAAGCTGTAAGCATCCTGCCACAAAATAATTCCAACATGATTCAATCACCCGATTTTATTATTGGCCAGGATGGCAAGTACCTTGAGTAATGGAATCCCATTCATAACTGTTTTTATTCCTCCCAGAATACAATACTGAGAACATTTAAATCAGTCTGAGTAGTTTAGGTTTGCTTAATTATTCAATAATGTGTTAAAGAAAAACTATAAGGAAAAAGTATTCATCTTGTTAACCAACTTCAAAAATATAATCTGTCATTTTGACGTGCTTTCCTTCTATTAGACATCTCCATAAATTGCCATGGTGCCTCGTACTTCACATGAATGTATATTTGCTCAAGAATAGGTGCTATGCAATTAATTGCCTTGGTAATAAAGAAACAAATATGTGATTCAAAGGAAACACACTTTGCAAGTGACATATTTTTTAAATACCCTTTGCATTGTATATATATATATATATATACACACACACATACATACACACACACATTCTAAATTGGCTATAGGGCGAAAAATATTCTTTCCATAAATGCCACCATAAAATTGAATCTATGTTTCAAGATCAGCATCCTTTTGGCAAGGCAGGGATGGAGAGAGCAGGTAGAAAAAGGCTGGTGCACATACAGGGCACTGCATTTACTGAGGTTACTTGTACATTATCTGCAGAATCTCTAGGTAGTTTGCACGAATGTAGCATAACAATCTAGCTGCTGCCTCCTACTCCTGCCCCTTATTAAACCATTTATTTCGCATACCTCCCCCATCCCTACCATATCTGAGGCTTGTCCTGTCTTCCAATCTAATGCTCCAAAGACATTACTTCCTCAGGGATTTTAAAAGTAATAATGTCTAATGTTCTAATTACGACAACTCATGAACAGGTAGGTAAAATTACAGGATAAAGATCAGCCTAAAACTTTTGTTTTCCATTTTCTGTATCCAAAAATTGAACAAGAAATGTGATCAATGATATACTGTTGAAGTGATAGGAAATAAAGGATACAGAACCAGAGGTGCTCTGACCCAAAGCTTACCCTGAAATATTAACTATTCAAATGCTACCACAGACCACTCAGATATTTTCCCTGGTCCAAATCATCACTGAATAACTCAAACTCCATTGCATTAGGAACCTAAGTCCACAGAAGTTAGGCTGGCTATATATTTGAGGATATAGAAAAAAAAAAAGAGAGAGAGAGAGAGAGAGATGTTAACCACGTTTCTGATAAACTAATGGAACAGTCCTTAAGGGAAATGAAATCTGGAGCTTTGAGTTCCCTAGATTCTTAACAAAATACGACTTCCCCCAAATCAAGCTCAATATTGAAAGTTCAAACATGAGCGTACCCAGAAGTACCTAATGGGCCACCATCTATTACTTTTCATAGCTCTATAGTAACTTTTCCATTCATATTTGCATTATAAAAACACTTTTTTGCCAAGAGCAAATGCTACCACCTACAGGTGTTTTCTAGGCACAATTACCCTGTTATTCAACTTTACATCTACTGCTGATCACTTGTTACAAAGGGAACAAACCTTAGCAGGCAGACCCCCATTTACAGGAAAGAGATACACATGTCATGAGATGTCTGTTTCCTGGGCAAGTTGCTTGTTCCAGCTGGCTTGGCATCACGGATGCGCACAACACTCACTCTGGACACCTCCTTCCTCTCTCTGGTTACTTATTTCCCCAGACTAGTAGCTACTGTCAACACAAACTCCACCAAATCCCAACAGTTTTAAGTCAAGAAACCTGTATATCAGTCTCAGCTTTGCTACTTACTGACAGTGTGACCTTGACCAAGTCACTTAAATTCTCTGGACTTCAGGATCCTTATCAAAAAGGAAGGATAAGGAAATTGCTGTCCTCAAGGGGCTATTAGGAAGACTAAATGAGATTCTGGTGAGGCACTCTACCAAAAAGTGAGAGGTATTCTGGGTTGAATGGAGCAGACTTGAGCTAACGCACAAAGATGGGCACAGACCTCAGGCCCCTGAAGGTGATCTTACCTTGCTGGTGGCAGAAGCAAAAGCTGCGAATAAAGTAAAATGAGGTGGGTAAAGAGATAAAGGTAAATTAGGTAGTGGAAGGAAGCATGAAATCAAATGGGGTGCGCATATGTGTGTTGGGGGAGGGCGAGCAAAGGTGATGGTGAGATCCAGTCCTTGAGGTATACCAAATACTAAGCAATATTCTACACGCCAAATGCTTTAATGAGGTGGCTAACATTTAATTTACATTTTATAAAGTATGTTTTTTTCCATATTTGTGGCCAAGTTGCAGTGAAAGATTTTTGTTAAGTAATTCTTTTAGTCCCATTTCCCCATATAAACATTCCCTCACACCAGATTTCTTTCCAAGGATTTCGGGAGCCCCATCAGTCCAAACATTTGCATGGCTGAATTTAGATGTATCAGTCATTACTTAAAATGAAACGTGCCACTTAGTTTCAGCCAACTTTAGGACGCAAAAGAGGAAGAGAGAGCAAAAGATCTACCCAAACACTAACAGTGGTTTTTTTCTGGATGATAGAATAAAAAATGACATTTTCTACTACATTATACCGATGAACAATGGTCAGTCTGTAAAATGACCAAATTTTCCCCCATGATCTGCTTGGCTTACATATGGACACAAAACAACAAGGATTATCTTCACAGCTGGGAGGTGTTATTTGCTAACAGATTAGTATGGAATTCACTGCAATGAGATTTTGTTTATGTAAATATTTGTGGTAGAAAATGTTGAATCATCTTCATTTTAAAACAGATCTTTAACACAGACATGAACCTTAGAAATAATCTAAGGTGATATCCGCTTTTTAAAGCTGCAAAAATTGAATCAGAGGGTTGAAATGATTTGTTTAAGATCACACAAATAGCAACGGCTTCAAGACTAAAACCAAGTTGTCTTGACTGGCAACTCAGAGCTCCTTCCACTACACCATTTGTGTGAATTACAGTTCTCTAAAGTCTACCACAATTTGAGAAGCATCTATGGTGTGTGTGGCGGGCGGGGGGCGCGGGGGGCGGGGAGGGGTGCTACAAGAAAATCAAGATGGATCAAACCTAGTCCCTGGGCTCAGGGGAGTCAGTTTTAAAATAAAGGATGCATTGACATGTGTTCTGCTTGCATTCTGGAAAACCTTATTAGCCACTGGTGAAAGACAGTATTTGACTCTTGCCTCCAAAGTCTTCAGTCAGTCAGTTAACATTCTGGTACCATTCTCAAGGTATAATAAATCTTCCGTAATTTGCAAGGGAAGTGGTTGAGGAACAGGAGTTATCCTAAGGTAGCTGACAATCAATTTCCCTTCAAAACTTAACAGCCATCTTTTCTTTCCTTATGCATTTCTATGCCCTTCTCTAGTAATGCAGCGCCCCCCATCCCATACCTTTGAAAGAAGAAATACACTTACTTTTTTTTTCTTTTTTTTTTTTTAGTGGTTCTAAGAACCTATGATTTGACTCCAGATTTGAGCACTACATGAAACCGTTGCAGATACTCACCTCCTTCTCCTTTCATGGCGTTCAGGCGTTTTCCGTCTACTTACGACTTTTTAGGCTAGGTCTGCCATCGCCTTAAATATAGTGGCATGGCTCTGAAAAGACACTGAGCTTCCTTCCAGGAGCCCTGCCATTGAAGAGGCTCTGCCAGACGTCCAGGAGTGAGTTCATTCCTCCCTTCAATTCCTATTTATTCTTGCCATCAAGACATCACTGCCAAGCCGAGTTCTCGCGTCAGCTGACAGATCTGTGACTCCCAGACAGTCTCATTCTGAGAGAGGGACAGCAGAGAGGGACCTGGGGGATACCTAAGGGTTGGGTTGAGGGGCGGACTAGTGAGCGCCAGATTCAAAGACTGAACCGGAGGAGTAAAGGAACTGGCCTTCCCGCACTCCAAAATAAAACATCGCATTATTTAAAAATGGAAACATTCTCAATAGCAATATTCTAAAACAAAACCACTCACCTGCAAAGAGGCCACCAGCAGCACCCGCTCCTCAAAGCCGCTGAGCAGGCAGCGCCGCCTAGGACTCATCCCTGCCGCCGGCATCAACGCTCTTTTCTAGTCTAGGCGCCAGAGGGGCCGGTCCTAGCGCTCTGTCTATTGGAGGACTGAGATGTCACTCCTTTATGGCCCCGCCTTACTCCCGGGAACCGGTCGAGGTCTTTTCCGTTTCCCAAATCCCTTGGGTAGAAGTTGAGGCTCTGATTGGCTCACTACGTAGACGAGCACACTTCCGGACCAGTAAAGAGATGGCTTCGACACCGGTGGGCGGGCTTGGGCCTGGGGAAGTAGAAAAATAATGCTGGGAGCGTCGACCCCGCCACGGAAAAACCTCAAATCTGGAGTTCTCTTAACTGGCCGAGGTGCTAGAAAGCCTTTCGCGTCGTAAGGGAAGGGCCTGCCAAGGTAGAGAAGTGTCGGCAGAATCTTGGAAGTGATGAGGTGATGCCTTTTTTTGCTCGTGGGAGACTTCAACCCGGGGAAAGAGGTGGGCAGTCTCGCGGAGGAAAGCTGCTTTCATTGTGGTTTTAAGTCTTAAATCGTGATTAAAACAGAAGCCTTTCAAATGCCGGCTTTATGGGCAGTAGCTCATCCGCACTTTCTCTTAGTACTTTTATAGGGATTCCACTGAAGCAAGTCCCTGACACTGTTTTGATTGGGAGAGAAAAGTGATGCATGGAATGCATTAAAGCTTTACAGCAGATGAAGGGAGGATGGAGTGGAATGAGGAGAATTATAAATGTGGAGGCCACAATTACTGAACTAGGGAAACCTATAAAAATACCCGAAGCCTGTCAAGAGGCCCCATAAGCTTCTAAGCAGGCTAGAACAACTGTACAACGCTTTGAAGCATAAATGTCAGAACTTTTGAGTAGGTGAAAAAGATAAGGAATGGTGTGTTTGCCTGACCGCACGGGGAATTCCCCTTCGCGATTTCTAGAAGCTGTCCTACTTAGTGTTGAGTGCCCTCTTTGGAGGAGTTCCTATTTCATTCTCAACCCGTCCAAGGAGCTTTGTGACTGCCAAGCAGGTCCTCAGAATAATTAAACATATAATCGAAAAGATGATCTTTCCACATTTTTAACTCTGTGACAATGTGTTGACTTCATTAAGACCTAAGTGTTTGTAGTTAGTCCCATACCTCACTTACCCTTGTTAGAGTGTAACAGTTCTTCCCGGGATCTCCAAGATCAGACCTTTCCTTCTGGGAGAACGCAAATCCGAGGCTTGACAGGTCGCAGTGGTAGGTGAGTCCCGTCTAGTGATCGCTGGAATTTAACTTGTGACTGGAGGAGGCGCCTTCCAGTCTTGACTCCCAGGAATACAACTTGCAATTCCTACGCTCCGACCCACTTGCTCTTCTTTTTCTCCATGATGGATGGGGATTGAGTGAGGGGAAAGCCCACCATCCATACTCTGGAGGATAAAGGCAGCCTTTCAGAAGTGTCTTAAAGCGTTTGACAAGTTGGGCTACTGATCTCTGCACGGAAGGGCACCTGCTCATTGGGTTTAGTTTTACTGCTTATATGGATACCCATAGAATGGTAGCTTGTCACATAGAACATTGACAGTGCCAAGCATCATCCGCCTGGTAAAATCTCATTGTACAGCTGAGGACTCTGAAGTTTGAAAGATTTAATCAGAATTATTTAGCTGGTTGAGGGCAGAACTGGGACAAACACCCAAGGTTGCTAATTCATAATTCTGCGAAAATGCTTCCTCTCCCGCTGCTTCCCCCACGTTTCCTCCCCCAGAAAGCAATAAACTTTAAAATCAAGATTACAGATTTTAAAATTAACTTGAATTAAGACCCATCATGAGGAATTTGATTCTGATATAGCAAGCAGTATAGATACTAAGAAAATAACTCAAGTGTCTCAGGGCCTATTTTACTTCAAACAATTCTTGATGAAGTTCCACTTTCATCCAAACAAGAAATGAAAATGCATTAATTTATGATAGCCATGTTGTCTCTTTGTCTTACTTTCTATTATGTGTGTATATTGAAAAACCAATATTAACACATATTGCACTTTAAGAATTAGGTAGCAAATTGTCTTATTCAGGACCTGAATGAAATGCTATTTTATGATAGTGTACCTGGCCAAAATAATTTCACAGCTATTTACACAGAATCCCTTTGTAGGCGGGGTTGAGCTGGTCCACCAAGCATCAAAAGGTCATCCACTCACCTAAGCTATTCTGCCTTTTTCTTCTCTGGGAGAGCCGTTGGCTTCCCTCCCTCCATCAGGCAAACTCCAGAATTGGTTGGTGCTGTCTCACATGTACAGAACTGTCTCCTTATCTTAACAGTTGTCAAGATGCACCATGACCTGGTTGTTTGCTACTGGTATCTAGTCTCCCACCACACCCTGACTTCTTCAGGGTCAGATTAAAATCCGCCACTCATAATCCAGTGTAATAGGCCCATGTTTGGCTCCATTGCCTACTAAGTATAGGACCCCTCTGTATAGATTGCTCCAATGGACCAGCCGTGGAGACCCATGGAAGGGATTTGAAAACCGCGTGTCCTTTCATTTCACACGTTAAAATGTAGAATCCTCATCTCATCAGAGTAGTGTGAAGAACAGGGGAGGCAATTTTGAAATAATTTTGCAATCTCTGAAGGTACATTGCTTGACCTCAGCCTGTCTTTATCTGTGAAATAGGGATAATACCCAAGTGGCCAATGTGAAAATTAAATGAAATAATGCAGTGTATACCTGGCTTTTGGAAAGCATTCAGGAAATGGTATTGATTCTTTATGATTAAAATAGTGTTAAATGCAGTGTTTTAACTGCACTTACAAGTACTCTTATTTTAAGAACTCAAAAACTCTGGGATTTGTGCTTTCATCCCCTCTCTAGGGTCACTGCGGAGGTTACAGGACAGGAATTTCCCGTCATCTCACTGCTACCCAGAGAGACAACTGTCAGGAAGTGAATGGCCAACAGGGTACAGACCAGTAGCAGGTTCAGGAGCCTTCAGTGCTGGAAAGTCTGAATTATGTGAAATTTCCCTACCCTAAATCTCAACATTGAGCCTCCTGGGGCAAGAAAAGAGCCAGGGTGATTTTTTTTCCCTCTCTCAATTCTAGGGGGAAAATAAATACTTTCAGTGTGTGGGACAAAGTTGAAAAAGGAGGAACCTTGCAGAAAATCTAATGAGGCACTTTCCTCCTTTACAAATTCTGCTTACAAAAAAATGTATTTCTTTAAATGCTCATTTTTTTTCTGTGGTGGTTAAAAAGTAGTCACAATTTCTGTCCTGTGGAGCTGTGTCTCAAATACTATATTTTATTTACTTATAAGTTTTTATTAACAAATATTATATATATTGTATAAGGTTTAGAAAAGAATTTAAAACACCCATAACCTTGCCACTCAAAGTTTATTAACAACTTTCATTTCTTCTATTTTCCCCCTGTAAATCAATTAATTTAAAAAGACTGGAGTAACAAGAACAGTTTGCACAACATCAATGTAACCTAACAGCCAAGGAGAGTGGACCGGAATGCACACGCATGAACAATAACAACTTCACTGTACTAGTCAGAGGGGGTGGTAGACGCCTTTGAGTGAGCACGTGTACTGTGTGGCCATCCAATTCAAAATGACTGAGCAAGTAGAGCAACGAATCTGCATCAAGTTTTGCGTTAAGCTTGACCGTTCCTCTGCAGAAACTATTCAGATGATTCAGAAGGCTTTTGGGGACAATGCAATGAGTGCAGAGCAAATAAAAGTGTGGCACAAATGCTTCAAAGATGGTCAAGAATCTGTTGAAAGTGATCCACGTTCTGGAAGGCCTGCAAAAAGCAGAACATCAAAGAATGTTGAACATGTGCGGGCTGCAGTCAACAAAGATCGGCGACCAAGGTGAATCAGCACCCCCACAGCCCAGATTTGGCACTCTGGGACTTCTGGCTTTTCCCGAAACTAAAATCACCTCTGAAAGGGAGGAGATTTCAGACCATCAATGAGATTGAGGAAAATATGATGGGGCACCTGATGGCAATTCCAACAAAGGATTTTGCAGACTTTTTTGAACAGTGAAAGAAAGAGATGCTGGGAGAACTGTGAGGTCCCAAGGTGCCTACTTTGAAGGGGACTGAGGCGTCATTATCCTATGTACAATGTTTCTTTTATCTTGTATCTTCTTCAATAAATGTCTCTATTTTTTGTAGTACATGGCTGAATACTTTCTGGACAGACCTCATACTGTTTTGGCAGCAATATTAATTTCTCATTAACATCTCCCCATGTCATTTAATGTTCTTCTTCAATATATAATTCCGTCATGTGAGTGTGCCTTTGGGTATTGTATCTCACAGTTTAATGAATCTTAGGCATTGAGTTTGTTTCATTTTCTTGAAAAGATTTGGGTATTTAAATCGGCTCCTTGGTTCCCTGAATGACAGGGTGTTCCCAGTGGGAATATCTACTGAACCAAAGGCACTGCCTGTGGGGGAAGCCCAGCCTTTCTTTGCTGAGGGTGATGAAATAGCAAGGAATTCTTTTCTCTGCGTCCTGGTATTGGCAGAGCTAAGAAAGGTAAAGCCAGTTAAAGCCTGAAAACACCTGGAGGGTTGCCCTTTAATCCTTGCTTTTCTCAGGGCTTCCTGTTCTTTAACCTGAAGAAAAAACGGTTAGGTGAGAGAAAATTGGGGAGGTTTTGGAAATCAGGTAAAACCTCACAAAACTGGCATCTGTATCTCCATTTTACAAACAAGGAAAATAAGGCCCAGAGAGAGAATTGGTTTAAGCCTGTACAGCTAGTCAGGGTTGGATGCTTAGGCTTGTGTCTGAAATTTGAACTCTGTCCACCATATTCCCCACTGCTTCTAAAAACTGGTGGGTATGGTGCCATTCATTTTTTTTCCTCTGGGAAATTGATTTTCTGCAAGATATTTGTTATCCGCTCCATTCATATATATATATATACACACACACACATATATATGTACATATATATATATACATACAATCTCCTGACTAACCAAGAATTTCTTCTTCCTTGGGTTTTCTGAGTTGGCTCATTCTTTGCCAAAAGAATATATCGTCAT